AGTCACTTTCAACAATATCACAGTTTTTTCAGTGGTCATTTTATTGCAATTAAAATACTTGCTTTCTTTAAACCCTCACTCCTGAAATCATGGACTCCCTAAAAACACCATCCTCTTCTTGGACAAACAGGTCCTATAGCTGTAGCAAAAGGAACCTTGAAGATATGAACTCTTGTAAAATGTAAATACAAAAACCAGATTTACTTAAATAATCAAAAGGTCAATTTTCTTTAGGTGCCTGGGATGTTTCATATGATGCTTGCAGTTGCCAGTGTCTACACATTGGACTCACCTCCAATGAGCGTGCACTCAGAGGGTACAGCCCACCTGCTCCCATTTCCCTGGGGCCAGCATAGCATCACAAAGGAGTTGGGAGCAACTTATGTCAAATATTTTTTTTGGCAGAAAGTTATCTATATAACACAGGTGATATACCATTGCAGATTATAAACCAGCAAACATGCAATGAGAAAGAAGTATCAAATGACCTTTCATGCCATTCATAAACCTGTAGGAAGTCTGAATGAAACACGCCCTGGTGTTCCTCTGTGCAAAATGCAGTAAGTAGTGCCGCACAACAGATCTAACACATCCCAGGCACACTGCAGCTGCAGTACCTCTAAGGGGCAACACATATATTTAACCTATTAAGGCCATTCAGTGTAACACATTTCTTCTCATATTGTTTAATGACAATACACAGGGACAAAGGTTGACCAAGCCTCCACTGATTTGGACAAATTAAAACAATGTAAATGTAAATCTAGATTCAAACACTATTCTTGTAAATGCCTAAGACTTGATTTTAGTTCTCTAAACTGATATTCTTCCTTACAGACCTATCACCGTGCTTTGACAGCTAATTCAATTATTTTGTTGATTTTTTGGAAAAGTATGCAAGCATTAATGGGAAATACAAGATCTGAATATAGCAGAGGCAATATTTCAGATATAATTGCTTTTTAGATATAAAAAGCATTTTAGCAGCAAGTATTTTGCCAAAACTCATGTAATTAGGTTACAGATGGCACCACGAAAACAAAAGGTGCCAGAGAGAGGGGTAAGGGATTGTAAAGATCCTTTCACATTAACACACATCCACATAGAGTGAAATCCCCATTGGTATCCCCTATTTACACTCATACCTGTTAATGGAGTGAGGGAGAGAGCAAGCTTTAGGAATATGGTGTCATTGCAGCTGGAATCAGGCCAATTAAAAAATTCAGCTGATGAAGAGGCAGTGGAGACTCTTCATGAGCTGCCCAAACCCCTGTACATAGTACGGTTATCTAAGAGGTACATGACCATGCTGAGTTACCACGCTCTTCTTTGTATTAGCACTAGTCCAACTGAGGTCTCAAAATCAGAAGAAACTACTTTCGAGCCAGCTCCCATCCTCCATGGAGTAGGACCTAATCTATACTGAAATTCCCTGTCCACCATTTTGCTGGTTGTTTCCTTTCCAGAAAATGAACACAGTAAAACTACTCAGGTGGTGTTTAGATTTTTAAAGGAAAGTAAGGGATATGTTATCTCGTGTTCATTGATCTTTTTAAGGGAATCTGATGCAAGACTGCATTATTCCTAGGTACTGAGTAATTAAATTTCACATTATTTGCTTCCATGATAAGTTTATCTTCCTTACTCAGCTGCCCTTACGAGCAAGACTAGAGTAATTCAGAACCAGGAAAAGCAACACAATAAAAACTAATTATCTGGTTTACTTTTGAACATTGCAACTGGTGATCATTTTATGAAGTATATTATAATTGCTCCCACTCTTGTCACTTCTGAATATTGGCTGCTTGCCAAGCAGAAGAGAAATGCCAAATGTGAGGAAGTATAATATAGGGTGGCTGGTCATAGCCAATAAAAATGCTGTACACAACACATGCAGGTTGATCTCGCAGTTCAGAAGAACACACGCAGTACTTTCCTTTAGATACCTAGGTATCTAACATAAGTAACTTAAAAATAGCATAAATAATTGCCATTAGGATGTTAGAATTCTTTCCATTGACAAAATTATTCATTTTAAAAAATTTAAAAGAAGTACATGCTACCTGCCAGAAACACAATTCTCTTCTCTAGAAGTGTAATTTAAGTGAAAGATCATAGTGCAAAATAAAATTACTATTACACTGAACTGAATAGAAAACCAATAAAATTAGAACAAAGACAAGACACAGTATATTTTGACACATGCGTTTTATGCTGGGTTAGACTGACACTAATAAAATTATATTTAGCAGCCTGCAAAAAGTACGTTTTTGCAGTATTTTTGCTGAACAGGAAATCAAGGTAGAAGTGACCCACAGGTGTGCTAAAATTAGTGCAAGTTTCTGTTTTATCTGGCATTACCCACTGGACTTCTTAGGTATAATGGAGACAGTTGTATGTGAACACTATCTTCCCATTAGACATAGTTGCTTGACAAATTCTGTGACAAAAAATATCCTTTTTTCTATGTATAAAAATATAGGTAGTAATCTACACAAGAAGAAAACTAGAATCACAGAAGCCAGAAGTTAGCTTGGAGAACACTAGCCCAATACACTGTAGATATGGACCTTAGCATTTCCATGACTTAATTCTTGCCATAAATTTTTAAGGAAAACATTAACCTGACCTTGACGATTGCTAGTGATGGAGAATCTATCATAAATGTCCCAATGCTTACTTTTGCTGAAAAATAGGTATCTAGTTTCTAGTCTGAATTGTGCGAATACAAGTTTTGGTCATCTGCCTTATATGTTTGTCTGCTGCAGTAAAGAAAATCCTTATTTCATGGCTGTGATTTTTCACTGATAAACTAAACAAATGGACTATTCATTCCATTGGCTTTCTTTTGAACATTCTCCACTTTATCAGCATCCTTCTTATCTGTGAACAGTAGAAGTGAGACAGTCTTCCAAGAAAGATTTAGGGCAATGCTAAATAGGTAGTAATACAACTTCTCTGTTCATTTATCTTCTGTCTACATACCCAGCACTTTTGACTCTAGAATTTGCACTGGAAACTCAAGTTCAGCTGGTATTTTTGGACATCTAGTCTTTTTATAGTTACAAAAGCTCAACTAATGGACATACCCGTGTAAATGTCTGATATTCTCCATTCCTGTGAGTTTCAGTAAATCATGTTAGAATATATTAGAAGTCCAGAAATAGATTTGTTTGCTTATAGTTTCGTACTCCTTCTTCCAGATCATTGATAAAAACAGAACTGGATAACAAATCTCTAGAAACACCATACTCTGTTTGGTTGCCTAATCTTTTCAACATTGTAAGTCGGATTTGAACTAATACAAAATTAACTTAGCACATATTACTTTCATTTCCTGATCAGACTATCAGGCAATGCCAAATCAGATGTCTTACAGAAGTTTATTGCATCAACAGTGGTAGCTAATAAACCAAATTTTTAATTTCATCAAAAGAAAAATTAGTAGGGAAGTTTCAGATAAACTGTTTTCTACTAGCCCACCTTGATATCTACTATTTATCATACTTCAATTCTTTCTTAATAAAAACTCATTTAACCCATTTCAGATAGGTCATTGTTCTGTTTCAGATAAATGAAACTATCCCTATCTCTCTTCAAAAAAGGTGACACAGCATTAGTTTTCTTGTAATTTTTTTAGAACTTTCTCATTGTTCCAAGACTTACTAAAAATCAACATAAACACTTAGAGATTATCTCTGGAAAGTTTCATTCTGTGTAGCAATATGCAGGAGTTTGAATAGAATAAATAACACTCTTAGTTTTTACAGTTTCTCTTCTTTCAAAGAACTGATGCTAAAAAGTTAAAAAGGAATGAAAACATCAAAAGCAGTATTTTTCATATGAGATGAAGGGTGGAAGTCCTTTGTTTTGTTTTGTTTCTTAAATATGACTTCCTTTTAAGTGGCATTGTACTGCACAAGTTTGGGTACAGGTCATATTTACATCTTACCTTTTTCGTTACATGTCATTTTTCCTAACAGTTTCCTAACAGTTTAAGATGACTTAAATTGACAGTCTAAGTCTCAAGTCCTCTTAGATTAAAAAGTATTGATTTATTAAACAAAAAATGTGTAAAACTAAATTTCTGAAACTCCACAGTATACTAAATTTCTGAAACTCCATAGTATATACACTTACATAATTATATATAAACAGGTTATTAAATAGGAAACAAATAACTTTATATCCAGCAAACTCATTCTTAAACAACCTGGAAATTTCCAATCACACAAATATTCACAAAATCCTGTAATTTGGAACTATTAGTAGAAGACATTTTTCATCATTTTCCAGATGTTATTTGTTCAGATATTTTTTCCTTCAAAGCTTATTAAATTCACCACCATATTATAAGCCTGCTTAGCAAAGAAGTTTTCAGTTTTTAACCTGATTTGTAATCACTTAAAAGTTTATAATATGCTTGAAAAAAAGCAGCATTATTTCCATAGGTTCTACATAGAAAGTTACTGAAAATTTTCTAAACTGAAAATCTCAAGGAGAACAGCATGCTTGAAGAACAGAAAGTAAACACAAACAACTGTAAGCCTATTTACCTTCTAAATATTGCAAAGAACTGTTGACTTATTTAGTTTTAAGAATAGATCACATGCATCTTCTAAATTAATTCTTCCCCTCTTACAAGATAAAATCTTTTTAAAGATGACTTATGTTCCACTGTTTAAACTACCACATACTCTGTCTTGATCCTGCAGGCAGCTATGCAACAAACACACTTTATTACTATGACTATTCACTTTTAACAGGACGATGTATAACTCAGTGCCTGTTGCTATGGGCCTGAAAATAAGTACATTGATTTAAGGGCTGAAACAGCATCTTATGAAGGCTCTTCTATTCTTTACTTTATCTGTAGTTACTGGGAGCAATTATAGCAAAAAATGAAAAAAGTCATGATTATTTTGAAGCGCTTCCATCAGTCTATGGCTTCAGTGTTTTCTTTTCAAGTAGCTAAAAACAGAATTATTCTGATATCCACTAGTGATTCAGAGATTTTTGATCTTCAGAGTTGAAGACTGAGTAAAACTTTCGTAGTGTAAGAAGGAGCAGAATCTGTAAGAGAAAACATACATCTCAGATTTCAGCTATATAATCAAGTACAAATAAATGGAGTCCTTGGCTAGAAAGAGCCGGGTCTAGTTTTGTTTCGGAGGTATCGTCCAAGTGATTTTTGTGCTACAAGCTATTTTTGTGCTAGCTTTCAGCTATTCTGTTGGTCCATATTATACGGCAGCTACTTCCTTCTTGATCTAGTTTTCAGAAGCTACTGTCAGCATCATCTATATCACGAGAGCTCAGACACAGGAAGTCCAAGAAGAATTCATGATCCAAACTGCCTCATAAATAGCACAGAGAAAAATTTTGTCTAGAAAGACAGGAAAGTATCACATTCTCTGAACTGCTTTGCCCCAGAGGAATATAAAGCTATCCTACACTTGACAGTGCCAACTGGGGTTTTCACATAGCCTGGTAGCCATAACTGGGGACTCCACATTTTACGAGCACATTAATAAACTCCACCACCACATGTTTCGTGCACATCTCTAAAGCCAAATTACGATCTCAGATTTTCTCTCCTCCCTCTCTCCGTATTTTCGCCACTGTTGCTACTGTTACCAGAATGTGGAACTTTTCCTTTTGTAGTAGACTTGACTTTAGAAGCAGATGGCTAGAATAATAAAGCTCAGCTAAGAAACAAAAATCAAAACACAAGATCTTTTCAACAGCTACATCACAAAACCAGAGAACAGTTGGAGTCGGCAGGCACCTCTGGAAATAGTTTGGTGCAAGTCAAGTAGGGTCACCTCGAGCAGGCTGCTCATGACCATGTCCAGTCAGGTTTTGAATATCTCCAAGGATGAAGACTCCATAGTCTCTCTGAGCAACTCGGTCCAGTGTTTAATCACCCATAACCATATCATATGGTGTTTCTTTACGTTTCTCTGTTACCCTATTGTGTAGGACTACTGCACAGACCACTTATGCATAATGAAAGGAATGAAAAAACTTCATATAATTAAATCTACAAAAGTACACTCTCTCAAAAGAGATTTAAACAGACCCTTCATGGGTATTTTGGCTCACAGGGAATTTTTCCTTTGTTTCCTAACATATTTTACTAAACAAGACTAAAGACATTGCCATATTATACCACATATTTAAGATTATACCACTTATAAGATAGAACACTGAAAGAAAGTAATATATAACCCTTCAGGTACTCTGTAATGAAGATAAAAGCAGTGGTTTTACTACACTAATTTTTCAATGGTTGAACAATTACTACATTGATACAAATAATCAATTAAAGAGTGCTGTATTAAGGCAAAGGGCATTTTATATAAACACACAGTGTTCCCTCTTGAGAGGAACAGCCTCTGCAGGAACTCAAAATCACTGAAGAGTAACTAATGCGAAACTCAAGACAGTTAAGCAAGTTAGGAGAATATGATTAATCATTGCAATAAATTATCACTGAATTAACATTAATGCATGTACAAACACACTATTAAGTTTGTATAGGTTTGTTCAGTTTCAAAGGTTCTAGAAATGGCCAAAACCTTCAACAAAACACATCTGAAATGTTTACTTTCAGTCTTATTTAGTACCATGAGAAACATTTAGTTTAAGGGCCTATTGTTGTACTCTCAAAAACTAATGCGCGCAGACTGCATATGTCTGCATTTATATCCAAGACAGCAGGAAGTTTACTGGAAGTTGACACATACCCCTTGCCTTTAGGTCTTCAATGTAAGCTTTCATAAATTCTTTCTCAAATTGTTCCCGTTCACGTTCACTTTCTATGATTTCTTCAGTGTCTTCACCTACAATAGTTTCAACTGGGCTATCTTTGAGACTTATGAACCTGTAGAGAAAAATATTAACACACGTACATAAGCAACAAGCTTCCAAACGTCACTGGTCAACATGAATGTCACTTCAGAATTTGCTCCAGCAACCAGAAGGGGAAATCCAAGGAACATGTGCTTAAATTTTGCATTATAACTTCCTTAGGAGCCATCAATTATTAACCACATAAATATTTCAGATAGCACCTTCTCTATACTCCACTCTCCATAGAAAAATGATCAGATTCTCTCTCCTAGAGAGAGAATCTCTCTTAGCCGATGTACCTAAATCATTCTTTGCAATAGTTCATATATTTCTTTATTATGGACTTCTGACAAACCAATCTATTTCCACATTGGTTAATGATTAGTATAAACACCATCGTAACAAAATTGCCTTGCAATATGGAGTTTTGTCAGTATCTCTTAACTGATGATACATATCTCAGTTTTTTTGTTATGTTACTTCTCTGTTACGATGGATGTTTGGATGAGTATTATATCATATTTTTGAATTGCCTAAAGCCACATCTTGCAGGTAAAAAGCCAATGGTTACATAAACAACTCACACAATGGGTAAGTTAAATGTACAGAATTCTGAGAAATCTCTGATGGTATTATCACTCTAAGGAGAGAAAAAAAAATCAATAAAATGATTGTTACTTCCTTAAGGAAAATTGTTCCAATTAATCACATGGCTTGTTAAAATCTCAGTAATTGCTCTGTTAGTTCCAAATGGTTTCATACTCAAAGACTTAAATATCACCTGCAGAAGTGTAGGATCACTGTTATTGCAGACAAAAAGGCCTTTCAGTGTTCTACATGCAACAAGACACTGTTTCACAATGGAGAATACATGAATCGCAACTCATGTAACACCTATCCGTGAGATAATAAAGTTTCTCTAGAGCCTCTCTAGTGGCTCTGGTATGAGTGTGGTCAGAATTTAGCCACCAGGAATGGTAGAAATAGCTGTTTGTGAAACTATTTCTCTGTGGAATAGCTACCTCTTTTCTTAAGAATATATTCATTTCTCCCTTACTTTTACTTACTTTAAACCAGTGGTTGACTCGCAGACGGCTGTGGGTATCTCAACCAAGTCATCACCACTGACAACTAGTAAACTGAGTTTTGGCATATTGACCAGGGCTCGGGGAAGATAAGTCAACTTGTTTTTCTGTAGGAGAAGTGTCTGCAGTTGATCTAACCTATAAAAGTGTGAAAGATAAAGATAGCTTAAAGTACTTATTTCAGTCAGGAGCATACACCTAAAATAGCAAAACGAACTTAATCTTGTGGAGAAAAATAATAACATGCCCCATCTTTGGCTTCCCTAAAATTATGCACACCACTTTCACAAACATTTTAATAATCTTTAATAGACATTTTCATTCAGGATTCGACATCATAAGTATTAACAGCCGACCTGTTACGAGAACTCACAAGAACACCCAAGACAAAAGATTAAAAAAAATTATTGCAGACTTGCATACAGAAGATGTTGACACAATGTGACGTAAAGCCTCACCTTGGGTACCTCAGAAACTAATGGCAAACTTGGTCACCAGCTCACAACTTTGCCCAATGGTTGTTTTCTATGTATTAGATATGCCTGAGTTAGGTAGTATGTTCGTATCTATTGTTTTTCGCTAGTAATTAGTACTGTGGAGAGCAGAAGACACACCAAATCCTGGTCACACGGCTCCCACAAGTTGTCCCATTGAAATCAATTTAATGACAAAGCTTTGTGGAGTACGGCATCGCGCTGCTTTCGGCTTCATTTCCCCTGACTTCTCCTAATGAAATAGTAATTTATGGCTGCGAATGTATTCCTTGGCACAAATAGGAGACAAAAAGCATAGCAATTTGAAGAAATAAGTTTGTCCTCTTTTACCGGAAGGGTCTATTGCTAAAACAGTATCGCAGGCTATTGCTTAGCAGATCCATATGGTTTGTTTGCATTCTGGAAGGGAAATTAAGGAAGGATTCAGCTTACTGCTAACTTTTTTATTTATTTTTTTTATTATTATTGTTATCATCATCTGAGACCTCATGGTAATGATCAAAGTTCTTCAGTGCTGCAGAAAGTGTCATCCTGAGGCTGAATGAGAATCTCAATTTGGATAGCAGGGGGAAAACCTGACATTTCCTAATCTTCAGAGTGCACTTGAACACCAGAGCTTCCAAAATTCAGGAACCAAAAGATGGGAAAAAAATGTATATTATGGGGTAACATCATATGACTGTGATGTTTAATAGCAGGATTGGCAATTCCAAATGGAGAGGATGGGGTAGAAAAGAAATACTAGAGGTAAAGAAGCTTATACAGGTTACAGGTTATATGAAGAAAAAGATCCTTAAATTGAGTAGGTATCTTTCCATAAAATAAAAATACCATCTTAGAAGCTCTTTTAAGTTAATTAAATCTTTGCTCAAATTTTCTGGAAAAAAAATTGCCAATTTTACTCTATGGTGGCTAGAACACTTGTATAACTAATACAAATTAAG